CCAGTTGGGGAATGCCTATCAACCTGACTCCTAGGCAGTCCCCAAATGGTTGCCCAGCCTGGGAAAGGACTGGCAGGCTAAGACACAGCCCACTCCTGCCAGGTGTTTATCAAAAGGTTACACAGGATGCCAAATGCCAAGCAGCTGAATTCATCTGTCAGTTCTTGTCCAGGTTGAGGACTGGCTGCCAGCAGAATCCCACTGCACTGTCTCTGGAACATTTCCACAAGGCTGGCTAGCTGGGCACGTGCCAGAAGGGGAAGTCCCTCCCAAGTGTTAAGCATTTCTGAGTAGAAGGTACAAGCTGAGACTGGTGCCAAGGAAATGTCGTCCTCCCACCCCAACTCTCCTGTACCAGAAAAAGTCAACACATAGGCAAACGTAAAAGACCATCCTTTAGATTTCTCCAAAAGACTACGGGCTAAAGAAAAAAATATGAACAATGTATTACAGGATTTTCACCTAATAGTGAAATACACGACATCAACGGCAAATCCCCAAAGTAGGAAATGAAGTCACGTGTGCTAGAATTCTTACATTGTATGTAGTTGCAGAACTCACTCATAACAGACTGTAATACATTAAGGATGCATATTGTAATCCCTAGAGCAACCACCAAAAAAATAACACATAGAGGCATATCTAGACAGAGGACGTAAAATGGAATACTAAGAAATTACAATGGCTACATGATTCTCTTTGGCCAACAAAATCTGAGTAGGCGTGATACGTGTCACTTCTGGATGGAAGCATTTCAGAGCCAGGACTTGACTCTTGGTGCTCTCTCCTCGCCTTGCGGTGAGATGGCCTAAGATCCAAAGATGCTGTGCAGTGATTATGTGGAACACCATTCCTTCAGCCTACACACACGACGGTCATTGGACACGTCCCGTAATAAGTAAACATTGGGTAACACCTCTGAGAGTCTTTTTATTTGACAGATACACTTGCATTACTGACAAACGTATTTGGTCCCCATGTATTATTTTTAATGTGATAGTGGATTCTGTCAACAGTTTACTTGTGTTTACTACTTCATTGATATTTTTGAGACTGATTTTCTTTCCGTGTGTGTGCAATCTATCAGATTTTGATAATATCATACATAATAATTGATGATTTGTTTTCTATGCTCCGAAGAAGTTTAAGGAACACTGGGAGTGTCCCGTCTGTAAAGGCTGTGGTTTGGTCATGTTTTTCATTTGTTTTGTGGAATCCTACATCCACATTTGCTTGTCTAATTATTTCTAATTCATCCTGGAACATTCCAGTAGTTTTTTTCTGCCTGTACTGGCTTTACTGGGTTTGTCTGTTTTGGGATATGTTTCATCTGCTAAAAAGTTTGAATTCGAGTGTTCTGGGTTTGTTCTTTTCTTACAGTATGTCCAAAAGGATGCTGTTTTATTTTATTAATACTCATATTTGAGTTTGTCAGCTTTACCCTTAACTATTCGCAGGAGGACATGGATAAGGAGTGGGACAAGGAGGGTTTGGGTGGGTTTCTCCATTTCCCATTAATGCTACTTTATACTCTAGACCACTTGCCTGATGTTACTATTGCTATAGCAGGTAAGGTGGTATTCATTTGCCTGGTTTATATTCTATCTTTTTACCCACTCTATCTTTGTATCATGTTTTCAACACATCTTTTGCAGATAGCATGCAGCTATTTTTATAAAAATCTAATCTATTTGCTTTAGATAGGTCAGTTTTAATCTGTTTACATGATGATGATTAACATAGTTGAGTTCATTTATACTTTGTCTTGTACTTATTAACTAGGCTACCTTCCCCCTCTCCCGGCTCCCAGTTCCCTTATACTCCTAGTTTGGCTTTCTCTCCTTCAGTGTTTGGATCTATACACACTATTGCTAGTCTTCTTGAGTTACCATTGTTAGCATGATCTATTCCAGTTTATTTCAGTCTCCTGATTTTGAGTGACTGGGGCTACATCTGTGGTCCCAACTTGGGCATTAAAACCCACAGTCTGTCTACTCTTTGGGCTTCTCTCTTTTAACACTGCCTCAGGGCTTACTTATGGTTAACACTCTGGCCCTGACTTTTTGTATTCATTCATTTCTGATTTCTATGATCTTCTATGATATCCATAGTTTTCTCTTTCAGGTTTAATATTATGTTTTGTTTAGTTATACTTTATCCAACTTTTTGCTTAACTCTGCAGCAGGCAGTAGGGGGTACTTCTAGATCACCTTGGTCTCTGCCATATTTGCTGACATTCCTGGGTGGTTTATTATCTCATTTAATCCTTCTTTAGGATAAAAGGAATTATCATCCCCACTTCCTAAATAAGGGGATACTATCACATTATTCTCATTTCATATTATTTAAAATTCTTCCTCCTTAACAAATCTCCTTGATTAACATTAAGCTAATCAAGTTTTCATTTATAATGTAGTTTTAGTTGGACTATTGCCAGCTGCTGTAACCAGTAAGGCCAAAGAGCACAGCCGCTTAACAGTTAGAGTTTATTATTTCTGATGCAGTTCCACGCAGTCATTTAGGGACTTGGCTCCTTCCATCTGTGGCTCCTCCTGGGCCTCATACTGCTCTCCATCCAGTCAGTGGTCAGGGAAAGAGGAAAGAGGGGGGCTCTAATGGGAGGTTTGTAGAAGCCAGCGGTGGAAATGGTTCACACCTTTTCTACTCTTATTCTACTGGCCAGAACTCAAATGGCCACATGTACAACTGCAAGAATGGCTGGGAACTGCAGTCCACTTATGCGCCCAAGAGGAAAGCAAAATGTACTTAGAAAGCAGCCAGTTCCTCTGCTTGCGCCTTCTAATCCTCTGGCATTCTCTCATTTTCTAATTTTCTTGTAATTCTTTAATCCTAAACTTTTACAACAATAAACTCCCCTTATTCACTTAACCCCTTACACAGGGACAAAAGAATCTCCATATATTGTTTCTGTACGAATTTGGTTTCTCCAGTTCTTGGTTTAGCCTTGTCTGACTTAACACTTATGTCACTCTTCTACTTTCTAACATTTTCACCTTGTTTGTTCCTTAGGTAAAACTTTATTTCAGGAGATGCCAGCAGGAAGCAGAGGCAGAAGTAGCCAGCAGCTCCTGCCGTCACCTTGGCCAGAGAGGGGCCCTGATCACTCTACACAGCCACTCACCCATCAGAGCTGCCCTCACCACCCAGAGCTGAGTCGTTCTAAAGACCTACAGGACAGACTACTCCCCTGGGCTCTCTCCTGCTATGACCCCACAGACAAGCGCCCTAAGCTGGGTTACAGGAGTCCACATTCCTTTGCAGCGGCCCCTGGAACACTCAGCTACATTCCTATCCACCTTCTCTGCAGGAACAATCTTAGCAGGGTGAAGGGGGAACGTTAAGATGGCTCAGTGGGTAGAGGTCTCTGGCTCAGAAGTCCTTAGTATAGACTCCTGACTTGTTCTAGACAGAGAAGACAAACTATTCTCAGATTTTCTTTGTTCACAGATTTGATCGTTCATTCATCTGCCCGGTTGGTTATTCATTAAAAATCCTGTGAACCCTCTGTCCCTTCCCAGTCCAGCACTGGGCTATAGATGCTTCAAGTCAAATGAAACACTTCCTGCTCTTGGGGAGCACTTTACAGTCCAGAAGAATGCATCCTGGGGCAGAGGGCAGACCCAAGGCATTGCGGTACATACTCTGCTGGTCTGTACAAGGCCCAGGGAACCCATGGGGACCCAATTCCTGCCTAGTTTACTGGGGAAGCATGAGCAGATTCCCTGATTAGAGCTGCATGTGCTCAGGAGGCCATAAAAGGTCATGGCATGCTTCATGTGTGGACACAGAGATGAAATGAGAGCCTAAACTCAGCCCCTGCCTGGCCCCCACTCATTGTAGTCCCATACCTGCTCCTGGGCTCCAGTCTATAGGAACCCTGATAGGTCCAGCTTTGAATGTGACATATTACAGCTTACCTGCCCACCAGGGTCCTTCTCCTTTGGGGCTTGACCTCCACGGCAGTCCTGACCTCACCGCTGTTGTTCAAGTTTTTAAAACTGGTGACCATGGGAGAAAGAACCCCAGGCCTAACAGCAGTTAGCATAGTTCCTTTTCCTGGAAACATGACAAGCAAACATCTCTTCCATGGACGCCAGTCCTGCCTCCTTTCTTGCATCTGTCCTTTGTAGCTCATACTTATCACCCTGTCACCAGTCCTTGGGCTCAGCCATGGGCAGCCAAGGATTCACTGCAATCCTGTGGGAGATCCCGAGTTGGCTTGAGGTTTCTACCTTCTCCAGCACTACCACTGCCCCCTCATGGTCTTCCGTTTGTAACCCTTGCAAGCTAGAAATACAGGTAAGCATCCATGGCAAGCTATAAGCAAACAGGTTCTGAGGTGGCCTCATCAGAGGAACGGGCTAGAGGCTACATGGGATTGGAATGTATGGATTCTGTGATGGGACACAGCATATCAGGGGCTTCTGGTTTCAATCACTGGGGGTTTGAGAGAAAAAATTCTCACAAGCAATTTTTGAAAAAGAGAGGTCTCGTATGTCCATTTAAGATGAAGTTGCAAAGATACAGGGACACAGACTATGGAAAATTCTCTCTGTTCACGGATTCAGCTAACCTCCAGTCTATTTCTTCCTTCAGAAAGGCCTGGAAAAGTGAAGCAGCCAACAAACTTGCAGAGGTAGAAATAAAAAAATCTGTATGTAGGCCTCATAGGTGGAAACATTTCCAGCAAAGAAAGTGTGAACAAAAGCTGGGCCAAGGCCTCATTTCTGCCTGTTCAGAAGTGGGCACCAAGCAGGTCCCTAAAAGAGTAACTTTGTCCAACTTGGTCACCCTCTTTGGACCCTTTTTCCATATTTATAAGAGGAAGTAATAGGGAGAGAAAATTTCCAGCTCCTGAGATTTCGTGATTGCTTTTGTTACATAAACACCTTTTTTTATGCATGAAAGACCTCCACCTGCTGGGCATTCACAAAATTTCTGAATAAATGTAGAAGAAAGAATATCTACACTGACAATACGTTTTAAATAATTTTTTAAAAGGTTTTCAAAAGCAGTAAGAACCAATACATTTTGTACCCCTTTGCCCTCCACCCTGCCTTCAGTTACTGCTGCAGGAAGCAGATGCCACGGTCCAAGAGAATGTCACTTCAGGTTTCTTCAGGGCAGAAGCCCCCAGTGGTCACAGGTTTACAGGGTAATGCCTAGTGTCCCTTAACAGTTAAGGGTCCAAGGTCTCCAGGAGAAATCTGCCTCGCAGCCCAGTGTGGAGTCTCAGGGTGGTCACAGCCTGTCCTGTCACACTGCCTGACTTGGCCCAGGTCCAGGAGGGCCCCTCTGCTATACCTGCTCACTGGCACCACCTGCACCGGCCCCCAAGCCTTTGCTGGGTGTCTGGGGTTCTGAGCAGCGGGCAGCCTGCTTTGGCAGGCGGATGGGGACGTAGATGTTGGAGGCGCAGTGCTCCTTGAAGTACTCGCCTCCCTTCTCTTCATACTCCTTCCTGGTGATCCAGACCTCGCTGTCGTCCAGGTGGTCCAAGGCCCAGTCACGAGCACCGTACCAGGCGTCCAGCACAGGGTTGGAGGCAAGCTGAACCTGAAACACAAGGAGACCCCTTACCAGAAGGATGTCTCCCCCCCTCAGGGCTCAAGGACTGAGTGTCTCCAGGCCCAGCTGCAGCTCCCCACAGTTTATCCCCAGGAATATACATGTAGGGAGGCCCCAGTCAATTCTAAGACGATCCAGGACTATCTCTGCACCCTCCAAGTACAGGTGAGCTGACATGCCCCTCTCTCCAGGAGAGCACACAAAAATGTGAAGCATATTTAACACAATAAACAGTTGTCAGCCATTCTACAAACACAAGACCTACCATGAAGGGTCAGAGAGACTGGGTGTCCCGCCTCCTGCTCCTCTGCCCCTGACCACAAGCTGCCAGGGGGAGAGAGGGAGCAGAGCTGGCACTCTAGCTGGAGAAAAGGCCTGCCTGGCTCCGATTCCCTCTCTGAAAGTGGAGGGAAGCGAGGGTGATGCCAAGTGGCTCTAGCCATGGTGGCGAAGGGGAAATGAGAGCAGAGAGGATGGTCTGGGATTCCCCATGGTGCCACCAGCGCTGTTTGCACTGCTTGTTGTCAGAGTCAGGTCAGGGTCAGGAGCTCTGAATGCCCCTCAACTAGGCTGACCTGACCATTCAGGAGAACATTCTCTTTAGGGCAAACCAAGCTTCCTGGTTTCTGGAGTCACCACTTGATTTTCCACTTTCCTTTTTCCTCCCTCCACCAACCACAGGAGTTCCAGGTTGGAAGGGTGACCTCAGAACTTTCTGAAGTAAAGGACAGGGACACAAAGTGGCATCAGCACATACAGATGGAGGAGGAAGCAGAAAAATCTACAAGCCCAGGAGACTGTGGCCTGGGCTGACACAGGTGAGGGACTTGTGAGAAGGGACCATCAATGACAAAATAAGGTAACAAGAGCCCCTACCACTCTGGCTTAGAAAGCGTCATTGAGAGAACAAGTGTAAGGCATGTGGTACATGCCTGGCACGGGGTAAGGATTCAGGAAATGGTTACCAATACAAAATACAAGCCAATATATGGACCCTAACAATGGAATACTATACAGCCATGAAAAAGACGCTTTGGAAGTGATATAGAAAAATAGTAATTCGGTAGTGAAAAAAATACAGGCACATTTATGCTAATGATCCGAGTCTACCCCCTCTGCCTTTCATCAGAGCACTCCTTGGTTAGCTGTGAGTTATCTCATCCTGTGCATCCCTGGGAAATACAACTCAGACCCTGCCAAGAGACAGAATTTGTTATCCTCCCTGTCAAGCCTGCTCTTCCTCTTGTATTTCCTCGTCCAGTGAATGTTGGATTTAACCCAACCAGTTGCCCAACCTAGAATTCCAGAGTTGTCTTAGGTTCCACCTCTCTCCCTGGATACAATCTATCACCCAGTTCTGACAATTTTCCTCTCCTCATCACTCTCACAACTCCTTCCTTTCCTCTCCCAATGCCTCTGCCTTCATGTCTCCTGCATAGCTACCATGTGACACTAAGCCAAGAACACAATTCACCACACGGTTAGTCCTTCCCTAACGGAAGTGGGTGTGGTAAGGAATATAGACAAGGACAGGGAAGGCTTCTCTGGAGGAAGTGACATCTAAACCAGGCACAAGAAATGCTCGGACTAGGCTGGGAAGAGTAGTCTAGGCAAAGGGAACATGCATATGCACAGGCCTGAGGCAGAAAACAAGGCATATTTGAGAAATGGTGCATTCACTATGGCTGACATTGCTGCTGTCCAGGACAAAAGGGGAAGGGATGAGAGATAATGCTGGAGTTATTCAAGGTCAGACCACAAGAGACACAGTAAACTGTGGCAAGTGGTGAGGAGTAAGCACTTCAGCCTACAGGCTGAGGAGCTGCCTCCTAGCTGATCTCCTGCTTCCAGTATTTCTCCTAATCCTCCATTTTCTACACCAGTGTCAAAATATCTATCTAAATGCAAACTGGATCACATGATACCCCTGCTGACACTCCTTCATAGTCCCACTTGTGCAGAAAAGAGCTATGTAGAGGGGCTGACAGCTTATCCTTGGAAAGGTCTGCTCCCAAGTTAGTCCTTAGCTGGCATCTGGGTACTTGGATTTCAGAAGGGTGCCTGCTATTAACTGGTAAGCATGGCTTGTTGTATCTGTTTGGACAAATGATGTGCTTTATGCTGAATACCTGCTTCCTTCTGGGAGTCTAGAATGTGCCTACATGATCAGTCCCCCCAAAATATTCTGGGCACTGAGAATCTAACAAGCTGCCCAGGTTGGCAACATTTCATATGTGTTAGCACAGCTCACTACTGGGAGATTAGAGACTTGATGCTAGCCGAAGACTAACTAAGGTGAGCAGGCCTTTCTAAGGAAAAGTTGTCAGGCCTTCTAGGTCAGCTCTTTTCTGCAAAGGCGGGACCATGTCCTGTGTGATCCCCCGGGAGAGGACTCTGGGGTTGGTATCAGGTCAGGTTCCCTCTGGACTTTACACAATGCACCTAATTCTTCTCCAGTGATTTTGCTTTGTCTCCTTTCAAATCACAGCCATGAGTATGATGATTATATGGTGAGTCCTAAGAGTCCTAGCAAATCATGGAACCTGGATGGTCCCAGGGACCCCAGACACAACACTAATGTCTGGGCATTTATTTCACAGGGCCCTGTGTTGAGCACCTGTCATGCAATAGCATGCCACACCTGGTAACAGGTGCTATGATTACCCCCCTCTACTGCTGGAAAAATGAGGCTTGGTGAAATTTAGTGATGGTGGTGACAGAACCAAAGCCCAGAGACCACACCCTGAATGGAAACTGCATCACGCAGCACAGGAGGTCAAGGCCAAGCCTCTTAGCAGGACACGGGCTCTGCATCACATGGGCCTACCACCCTCTCCACTCCTCTTTAGCAGTCACACACTCCAGCCACACTCAGCTACTGCTCACTCCCTTGTCAGCCTTTTGGTCTCTGAACCTTTGCTCACATTAGTCTTTATCTGGAAGGTTCTTTCCATCCCACCCTACTGCACACTGTCCAGATGGCAAACACCTCCTCATCCCAGGACACCTCAGTTTCACGGAGCCATCACTGAATTCCAAGACTAACGGGTGCCCACGCCTGCATGTCCATCATGCTCTGGGTTATCATGGCCTGTTTACTTGGCTGCAACCCCCTCAGATAACAGGTTCTCATGTCTGTTTCTAGGACATCTCAGCATCCCCACAGTGCCTGGCCCACAGAGGGAGCTGAGACCATGTTTATTAGTGATCAAGGGTTTGGCAGATAAATTATGAGGCACCCAAACCATATGGTCATTAAAAAATAGCATTTTAGAATAACACATGGGAAAATGTTAAGGACAGGCTAAGGAAATCCAGGCTACAAGGCAGTAAATGCTTCACGTGGAAAGAAAAGCTATGCTGATAGGAGGGTGTGGATGAAGAGAATTGACTTGTTTTCAATGGATGCTCTTCTGTAATGTGAATTTTTTTATATGTATGTCTTCCTTTTTTAGTTAAAAAAACAAAACAAAACATGATATCCACTCTGCTTTATGAACTTAATACAGATGAATGACCAGAAGGAAAGTCATGAAAATGTTAATAGCAGGTATCTCTGGACGATGGAATTATAAAGCAATTTTCCTGATTTACGCTTTATTACTTTTGCAATCAGAAATTAATGAATGCCATTTTCAAAAGAGCTGGTCACGTGAACAATCAGTACCTGAAAAGCAGACTGAAAGGGCCTCATCTCCAACAGCTCCTTCTCAATTCTAGCTTTCATCCCAGGATACATCATGTTGCCGCCAGTGAGGAAAACATTCTGAACCAGCATCTCCTGAAGGTCCTTTGGGTACCTAGACAGAAATGGGTCCTTTTATACAGTCCCTCCAACTTCAGAAGAGAACAAAGATGTGGAAATGCAAGCTCTCAGTACAAAATGGAAAACATCTACACAAAAAGTTTAAAAAAAAAAAGCCAAAAACTTCCATTTTTCATTTATATCTTTACAGAACACCAAATATCTAGTTGAGACCTTAATGGTAATTCATTTCATTAGCATGGTTAGAGTTCTGTCTTTCTAACACACTTTTTAAAAATGGACTTCACTGAGGATTGATTACAAAGATTTTGAGGAAGTCTGACAAACTTACCTACCCCAGTAACCATCCCACAATGAAGGCAAAGAGCATTTCCATCACTCCAAAATGTCCTGTCTCCCTTTTGAGAGCCCAGATCACCACCTGCACTTTTTTTTTCTTTTTAAGATTACAGCTTCATCTTAACGTATTTTTGATCACTTTCCTACCCACTGTTAAGATAATGCTCAAAGTCACTCTAACAAGGTAGCTCCGACAGGTTTTCTTCCTTGCTGGGGCCAAGTTTCTGTCCTGTTGGGCCAAGAGCACCCAGAGTACTATCACTCATGTTCTCCATTTGTCCAACTTGAATTATGAAAACTCACACTGCAGGAAAATGCCTGTATAGAATGGACGTGTGTACGTCAGGGGACATGTTATAGAAATGAAAACTCAAGTAAATAAAATTTCTGCAATGAGGAAAAAAATCTTTTTTAAGCTCTGCACATTTTCAGGGCAATTCAAAATCACTAGTTTTCAACAATGTGAAACTTTATATGAATGCCAATGCACACACATCATCATGTTGCTCAAACTTAAAAATAAATTCTTTAAAGTCCTTAAATAGACTCAGCATTTACATATTGAGGAAAGAATTACAGAATATGATCTGATCCTTGAGCACAGCAAGTCAATTAAAAGCAGACAGCAAGACAAGATTTCCAAACACCGACCATCAAATCTACCATTCAATGCAAATTCAAGGAAACGGTTCAAGAAAATCCAAGCCAAAAAAGTTACAGTCTCACCTGTCCAGAATGTACTGAAGGGTCTCTGCTATCCCAGCCTGTTCATCCCCTATGAGCGATGGCTGGAAGATAATTTCTGGAGCTCGAATTCTTTCTGTCCCAACAAAGAGCTGGTGATACGCTGCCAAGTTAAACACGGGCTTTAAAAACCAAGGTTTAGAAGATATTTTTAGGCCATAATGACAAACATTCCAGTTGCCAGTTTCCTCAAACCTCATTTCTTATTCCAACATAACATCCACCCTTTGTTCATGATAGACTAAACTCTCTCCAACTCTCTTAATATGCTAATTCGATTTTCTACCTTTTTGCTACACCCGAATTACCAATTCCCAAATGTGCATCATGAAATAGTCCCTGGGTTGCAGGCAGAGACTGGTCTCTGAACCTTTGCTCACATTAGTCCTTATCTGGAAGGTTCTTTCCATCCCACCCTACTGCACACTGTCCAGATGGCAAACACCTCCACATCCCAGGACACCTCTGCCAATGTGCATCATGAAACAGTCCCTGGGTTGCAGGCAAAGAGACTTCCTGAAGAGCAGCAGCAGCAAGGCTGAGCCCTGGAAGACCAAGTCTTCCACCCAGTACCTTGCTCAGCACCCCAGTCCCTGTACAGCCACAAAAGGTTTCTCCCAGGTGTCTAAGACTCCAGTATGTCTATCTGGTTGCCACTGCAGTGACAGAAACATAGGCCCAAATAATGACTAAGCATACTGACACTGGCTCAAATTTAAATGAAACCACTGAAGCTAGTCTTCAGGTCTAAAGTCCCCAGTTACTTGCCCAAATATCTCCACCTGGCAGACTGATTTTCCCAGATTCACAGATCTTATTGTAAAAACCCTAACTTCATACATTTTAAGTACTGGTACCCCCCTTTCTAGGGAATTTAACTGGGACATTTTTGGAAAAAATATTCCTAAAGAAGCAGACCAGAGTAGACTGGTCACTGATGTCAACAGTGTCAAAGCATAAGCATGGTCTAGGCACTGGAGTCCAACCTGGACAGTGGTGACTGGCTTCTCCACCTCAGGCGTCTCTTCCGAAAACAAGGGCTCAAAATCATTGATGTTTTCCACGTCTTCCAGTGATGGCTCAAGATGCTCCAGGTCAGGGGTCTAAGAACAGAATAAAGAAAACAAAACAGAACTAGTAACCTCAGTGAGCCTTAGATCTATTAGCTTACTATCCTAAAGAAGAACTGGGATCTTGCCAAATGTCCTAAAAGTTTACATAAAAACACGAAAAATTTCCTGAATTATTAAAAATAAAAAAACACAAGGATCAAAAGACTAAAAAGCCAGGAGTGGGTTTTGCTCTTATCCCTACCTTTCCAAGTTACACAAGCCTCATCAACTCCCACCTTCTCTCTGAAGCCTTCTGATGGGCCAGCTCATGCCTGAGGCCCAGGGAAGACCTGCAGCCCACAACCATCACCCCACCACACAGAACTCCGTCGTAGGGGACGGCATGACAGCTGCCGTCCTACAAAGTGGCTTAGACTACATGCCAACACTAATGCGCTTAACAATTAGTCCCCTTAATAGCAGATTTACCAGGCTGGGGCTGTGACTAAAAGCTCCCAAGGTGGCAGAATGATTCCCATCTGGGGAGTCCTACAGCTGAGTGAATGACAGGCTTTCCTCTTCAACAGCAATGAACCTGATTGGGGTCTAGACATGCTGACACCATGTACAACAGAGGGTTTGGGGCATATGTTAATTCTGACCTGGATAACAGAAGTTGGATTGCAGGGTAGGGTGTATGGGGGGTGTCGGGGTGGAGTTCTAGATGACATCTCAGCCATGTTTTTCTGCCATGTGAAAGGCAGATAAGTATTACCCTATGGATTCAAAGGGAAAAAGTTACAGGAAGAAATACTGTTGCCTTCCATGGAAGAATGCTCTAACAATGTCAGCTGACCAGTGCCATCAGCCTCGCCTGCCTGAGAGGGGATCCCTCCATGCTGAGTCCCTCCTTCCTCTCTGAGCCTCTAAAGTATGTAAATAAATTACTGACAGCTCAGAGCACTTAAAACTACTTCTCTAAACCTGCCCATTTACACTGCAAATGTCAACTAGCATTCAAACTCAGTGGCCTTCAACACTCTGACACACACACCAAAACAGTCATGTGGCATATGTGGCTTACTGAATGAAGGCAATGTATACTAAATTCCGTTCAGTATTGATGACTCTACCATAGTTGGGGGAGGATAAACCCTGGAAAGGACAGGGAATATTTCTTCACCTGAGAGTAGAGAATACGAGGAGAGGGACTAGTCTAGAAATAGGTAATATAAGGAGGAGAGGGTGGCTGGGAGGCAAAAAACTAAGGACTTCTTCTCAGGGCAGTAGGCGCGAGCCATCCAAATACCGAATCCAACTTCAGAGCAGGGACAAGTGCCTCTGCACAACCCTCACAGCAGATATTATCGCCACACTTCATGGGTGAGAAAACTCAGGAGGTGAAACAGCTTGCCCAAAACCAGGTTACACTAGGAGGTGGCGGAAACCTGCCCTAAAGTAGACCTGCTTAGCTCTAAAGTCTTTGCTCTGCCTCAAGCTGAAACTCTCTAAATCATGAGTCTGTGTGTGACAGAGCAGCAGGGGCTTTTAGGAGTATGGGAAAGCTTTGGCCTGAGCAGAGGTGACAAGACAGGAATGAAAGATGTTTGCATATGGCAGCAAGACCAGCTGAGTGAATGACAGGTCTCTGCCCCAGCAGAGACAGCAGAGTATGTCAGGACATTCCCCTAGCTGTCTGCAGTCTCTACTCCACAACACTCCCACCTCCCCTCACAAGAAAGGAACCCCTACCCCAAGACAGCCTGTGCCACTCTGCTGGGCACTAAACTCAGGGGTCTCAGGAGCCATCATCTGGCTTTCATCTGGTGGCTTGTCATCCAGGATGACGAGCAACCAGGAGGCCAAGTGCTGTTAAAAAGAGGTGAGGCTTTGGGGTCACATCAACCCAGCTCTGAATGGCAACCCAAGATTTATTTAAGGTCCAGGTGGCATCATCTGAGCGGCTTCCTCCTCCACCCAGTGGGGATGACCCATGGACAGCATTAGGGTGAGAGCTGGGCATGCCTTCTTCTCCTACAGGCACTCATTTGGGCCTAAAATCTCAGACATCATATGGGGCTGGAGGCACACAAATGTCACCTGTGTATTTAGAATAACTACAGACAAACCCTGTGGACCCCTCCCCCAAATAATAATGGGTGAAGGCAAACCCTGGACTCCACTGAGCTCTCCCATCTACCTCTCTATCCCTACACCTCTATCTTCCTCATCTTCATCCCAAGCTCACTCCTCTGACTTCCGTAACCTCCTGGTGATGACCTTTCCTGCGGAGTCACACCTTTCTCCACCCACCCCGGGATCCAGTCACAACTGCCACCATCCCTCCCCCCCACCTCTATCCACTCCTGCTGAGTCCAACCATCACTCTCAAACCATGAAGGGTACTACCCAAAACCCTTTCCACTTCTGCTCTTGGGTAGACAGTATTTTTCAAAGATGGTCACAACAGTACCTTCTATCCCACATACTCTTCCTCCACATGACTCTGACATTCCCCATAAACCAGTGGTTTCCTCCCATTGAATCTTGATGGGGGTTGGTGACTCCAACCACTAGTGTGGTGCAAATAACACCATGTGACTTCCAATGTGAGGTCGCAAAAGGCCACGTGATCTCTTTAAACACTCCTCTCTTCAAACGCTACTCCCCCTTGGGCAGCTCCTTCCTGGAAGCCAGTCGCCATGCTGAGCCCAGTGCATATGGACAGGCCATGTGTGGTGTGCGGATCAACTATCCCCACTGAGTCCAGCCTTTGAGTGATCCCAGCCAAGAAGCCAGAGAAGAGAAAAGCCCTCTCTTCTCTGAAAAGCCAGAGATTCCAGTTCCCAACTGGTCCAAGGCCTCCCAGCTGAGGCTCCGGGCATCAGGGAACAGAGACCCCTGCTACACTCTGAATTCCTGACCCAGCAAGTTCACGAAATGGTGAAATGAAATGGTGGTGGTCGTTTTATGCTACTGAGTTTGGAGTGTTTTTTACACAGCCACGGGTAAGTGAAACATGCATCTAGTGGGGCAGGAGTGGGGAAGGCCCAGGCTGCTGCCAGGCCGTCCTTTTGTTCTCTCCAGCTTCCCCTTGCCTGCTCCACAGCAGCTGTCTTCAAACTTTCTTGACATTCCTCTCCACCCCTTCTCATCCACTCCTGTGGTTCTTAGCAGGTCGCCTGAGGTGCTTCAAAAAGTCAACTTACCTACTTATCCTCCTTATCTTTTCCTTGTTCTTCCTTCCCTCCTGACTGCAAGAACACGTGGATCATCTCTGTCCTAGCTCAAGCCATCACCCATGCTCTTTGAACTCTCCCACCCACTGCTCTGGTTTCTCTTTGCTCTGGCTGCTCTTTCTCAATCTCCTTCCTGGACTTTTCCTCCACCAGCTGACTCCTACATGGTGGCCTTCCCTGGGCATTCTTCATTTCTCCCTCCCCATGTGGTTCTGGGTCCTGGAAAGCCCCACCTGACATCCCACAGAGTCTTTAAAGATAAGCCGCCCCAAACCAAAGGCACTGCCCTCCACCCACTGCCTTACAGCCTCAGTGTAACCACAGTGAATCTGGAAGCAGACTGCTTGCATCTGATTCTCTCCTGCACCACCTCACGCTGGGCGACCCTGGGCAAACCCCTTCACTGCCCTAAACCTCAGTTTCCTTACCTGTAAAACAGGAATGACGACAGTACTTAATAAATTATGAAAATTAATCCAGACAACACAGAAGTGCTCAGCACAGGATCTGGCACGTGTCACATGTTCTATTATCATTGGCAACTGCTGTTCCTGTCTCTGCCCCCAAATGGCAGCAAGATCTTTGGCTTCTGCCTTTGAACTGTCTCCTCCTCTACCCTCCCTCCCCTTGGTTACTGAAGGATGTCACCACACCAGCTCCGTTCTGGAATAATATGAACAGTTCAGCCTGTGTCACCACCACCAGCCTTGCCTCTCCCTCAACCCATCATCTGAACTGCCACCACCAGTTATTTTCCCCAAATAAAAGCTCATCAGATTACCACCTCACTGAACATACTCTGAAGGCTCTGCTGAAGTACTATATCCAGGCTGACCCTGCCCCCTTCTCTGCTTCATCTCTCTGCCAACACCGTGCCACACTCTTTGCACATGTGTTTCTTTTGCATCTAAAGTGTCCTTCTCTCCTCATTTGCCACCTGTGGCAATCAATTCATCTCTCAGGGCCCAACTCAAATATCCAATCCTTTCTCAGAACTTCTTCTGTATTCTCAAACACATCTACTGCCATATCCAATAATTATTACGGTCAGCTAAAAATGGTTCTACTATGAGCCCTGTTTTCTTGAGGTATCGAGGAGGGCAGGAACTGTATCTTCATCGCCTTTACACCACTAGTCTCTGGCGTACCATGCCTAGCACTGAGGTGTGGATCCCAGGGATAAACTGTCACACTTCCCTGGAATAGAGAACACTGTAAAATGTTTGGGTTTCAAAAGGCCTCTTCAGCTGTGACAAAATTATCATCATCCACCTTCAACTATATTCAAAAACGTAACGCCTTAAAAATAACTTCTTAGCATCACTAAAAATGATAAGATACATTACTTATCCCAATTCACATTACTCACAGAGAGGAACAAGGCCAGTCACTTCAACACAGACAACAGGCATCTGACAGAGAACAGATTTCTCTACCATGGCTGGCTTCTCTGCCTGGAGGGTTTGCCAGGGTCTCCACGTGTACTGTGGGGCATTCAGCAACACAAGCATGACTGTTCTTTTTTGGAAGTGAACAGAAAGGCAGTTTGCCAAAGCACATCAGAGATGCAGCATGGTTCCCTGGAACAGTCCTGAGCAGCATTAGGAATAAGCAGACCAGCTCTGATCTTGGCTAGTCAGGCAACAGAACTTTCTATATTTGGTGGTTGTGTTTTCCAAAGAATGATGGTGCTCTAAAACTCTCTCCCCATTCCACCCCCTCATGCCATGCTTGTGGGAATGGGAAGCCAGCGTCTTCTAGTTCAAATACCTCATTAAATTCATTAAGAATGCTGACAGAGCCTACTCCGTTACAACAACCTCATCGGAACACTTGCAGAATAGCAAGGGCTGGTGCATAGGAAAAAAAAAGGATTTTAGAAAACACTGTAAGTTAAAAACTTAGTGTATTAATCCAATTCAGTCATAACTGCTTGGATAGCATTTCAGTATGAACTTTGATCCACATAAATCCATTCTCTCCATTCTGAATTACATCGTTTGAAAATACTACAAATATTTTTTGAAAGGTAGAACTGGCCAACCAGTGTTGTAGACCAATTTACCCCATGAATATTACCGTAACTGACACTAGTAACTAACAATCACCCTCAATAAATGTTGACTGGCCCTTAAAGCTTTGGGGACAGGTTGATTCATCAGATTAGTGGTATACAGAAAAATCTTTTAAAGTCCAAAACTTCAAAATCTCCCCAAGCCCAGAGAGATCTGAATATGTATCCTCAGAGCACAGTTACTTGGTTTTTACTTTTTAAACCTGAAATCCCTCCCCTGCCTGTGGCTTAGTGGCACATCTCTGGTATAAAGTTGCTGATGTCCTGTTAGCATGTTAAAAACTGATAAAAACTAAATATGGGTGAATAACCACCAAAGACAAAGTAGGTCCAGGTTCCAGTAACAGCTCAAATCTGAAACACAGGCCTGAAAATGGGGAGAAGTCAACTAGAAAAGGCACATTGGCTCAGCTGCAGCTGATCTGTAGGAGAGAGTAAGATGGTCGGCAAGGTGCCTCCTGCCCAGAGTCCATGGTCCAGTAAGCTGTGCCTCGGAGCTGACTCGGGATCTGCCCTATCGAACACGCATGCTCGCGGACAGCTGCTTTCCTCATGTGGTCTACAGCCCGTCAGAGAGTGGAGACCGCGAGGCAGAGGGCGAGAACTGTGGGAGTGAGCCTCCAGATGAGACAGTAACTACAAAAGCTGGCTTTACGTTAAGCCACAGATAGTGTCAAAGTCACTGGCAAGCACCACACCAAGCCTAGCATCAAACTGGATTTTTCTACAGGACTATTTCATTCTAAAGTATAGGTTTTAGAATTTTTTTAAAGTTGACCTAAAAACAGAAAAAAACAGTAAGCAAAAATGGTTAACCCCAGAGGTATCACAAGGCAGTCAAGCAGTTCCTGTTTTAGAATTCTAGGATGATAGACTCAGGAACAGGGGTACACCTATTAACCCTTTTTTCCCAGTGTGAGGGACAGGTGAGCCAACCAGTGACTTATGGCCAAGGTGGGACCTGCAGGCAGCCCTGTCACCATGCAGGGCCCAGTGCTGGGGTTTGGGTTATCTCAGCGCTACCACCTGCCTTTTTGGCTACATCAACACTTATTAACAGTCTACTGGCAGGAAAACAAAAAGGAGAAACAGAGAAGGTCAAAGAACTTACTCAAATAATTAGTTTTTAGTAATAAAAGGCTGATCTTAAACCAATCAATAAATATTTTATTGAGATGCCTACTAGTTGCTGTAAAAAATTCATCAGCTATTTATGAAGTATGATACCTGACCTTAGGGAACATCAAGATGGAAAGGAAGTGAATGATCAACTGCAATATAGTTAATAAAACATTACCACAAAGCTAAAGGGAGTGTATGACTGCCAAATAACCATCAACGGAGCAGGTTCAAGATGGCACCACACGTTTGGTGTGTGAATGTTCTTCCTACTCTACACGCACTTCCCCTTGCAGGAGAAACAGAGGTCTCCAGGGTGTAATCGCTCAGATCAGACCTTCAGTTGGTACAAGGTCAGTGCCATCACTTCCTACCACGTCCCATGGACGTCACTCACCATACTGCTCTCTTTCCCTCGAGTCTGGTCACAGCCCCTCTGACGTAAGCCTTCCCCTCCTCCACCTCAGGAAGGGCTGTTCTCTCTAAATGACCTATGGGACCTCCCTCCCATGGCCCTCAGTACCTCTGGCTTGCTGTCCACCACATCCACCTCAAGGTTGACTTCTGCTTGAAGGATTTTCTGCTTAGCTTGCTCCACGGCCAAACTGAGCTTTTGTATGTAGGACTGCAGCTCTTCTGGGGAGTCCATGTTCAGCTCTATCAGAGCTTTGTGAAACTGATCCATCTGGCCATCCTCTAGAAGCTCCTGAAACCAGGAGCAGTCACCATTTACCCTCAGTGACAACAGTGCAGTTACAAACAGGAAGGAAAGAGAAATAGCTCAGAAGGCAAACAGAGAACAAGTAAAGCAGAGGAAGGCTCCCAGAGCTCCCTAGCCTGCTGTCCACATCTCACCTCCCACCCAAGCTTCACACACCTCCCCAGCTGTCTCTAGGCTGCCATCATATCATGGTTTCAGCAACACCTGATCAGGCAAAACTAATCTAGAGTGACACATGTCATGCATGTCATTATCTGTTGGATGGGGAGAGGTGGGAGCGTTACTGACTAAGAGGAGACATGAGGGAGGATTCGAGATGCTGGTAATGCTCTATTTCTTCATCTGGATGCAGATACATGGTGTGCTGTGAAAATCATCCAGCCATTCACTTAAGGTTTGTGCACTGAGCACGTGTGTTACACCTGAATTAAAATGTTAAAAAATAAAGTCAAGGAGATTATAAGGCCAAAATGTATCAATACAGCCAGAGTCCACAGCTCTTTCAGAAATACCTGCTGCTATACTGTTCACTTCTATACCAACAGCCCCACTAGACGCCTTCCTGACCCCAAGGGTGACTCAGATAGTCAATGCATTTTCCGGTTGAGGAAGAACATATAGCTAAAAACTTTCCAGGGATGACTGCTCAGCAAGGCTGGGGACCCACGGTGGCATCTGCTGTCACCTGCACATAGAGCAGTCTGTCCAGCCTCTCCTGATCGAGCTGCAGTCTCTCCTCCCGCCGGCGGGCATTGAGCTCCTGCAGCCGCCGCAGTTGCTGTTGTCGCCTTTCCTGTCTCTCTTCGGAGGTCAGAGTGCTGCCAAGTAGCTTGCTGGAGAATGGAAGCTGCATCTTGTGGACGTTACTTTCATAATAATCAGGGCACCGCCATTTCTGTAATTCTTCAAAGAAGTAAGTTTGGAAGTTGGGAGATGGGAGCACTACTAGCACAAAAGCTAGGAAGTCAACACCAAGGTTCTAGATCCAGGTGAGAGGGAGAAAGCACACTCCCCCAACCTCTGAATCCAGCCGAGTAACAAAAGGCAACTATAAAACCTGGACATAATGCCCACAAATCTGCTCTGAAAGAACTGCTAAAAAATGTCTTCAGCCAGAAATGATATCAGAAGCATTTTGGGAACATCAGGAATAAAGGAAGAGCAATAGAAATGATGAAATCTGGTTGAATGTAATAGCCTAACAGCCTCCTGAGGTCTTTAAAATATATTTGACAACGCTAAGTAAAAACCTTAATAACATCTGATGAGCATCCAACATATACAGACATGATTCAGAAGACAACTCCAACATAAAGGGGAAGGATAAAGGCTCTAGAGTGCTAACATCCCCACATTTCACTTGAAGTAACAAAATAGAGAATCTAAGAAGACTGTAAAGAGTCCACTTACTATAATGCTAGAGCAACCACTAAGAAAAGCTATGCAGACAGACAGACATGGTAAAAAAAACATGTCAGATAAATCAAAATGGAATGCCAAAACGTTTTTTAATTGTTCAAATAACCCAAAAGAGGGCAGGAGAGGACAACAGGAACAACAAAGAGGAGTAACAGAAAACAAATAACAAAATGGTGGAACTAAATCCAAACACATGAATAATTAAGATTAAACAAAAAAGGCCCAATAAAAAAAAGACCCAACTATTAAGAAACTCACTTTGAATATAATGATACAGGTTACTAGTAAACGGATGGAAAGCATTACCATGCAGCACTAATCAAAAGAAAGGTGGAATGGCTAAATTAATGTCCAAATAGGTTTCAAAGCAAAGAAAACAGCAAGGGATAAAAAGGAATAGTATATAATGATAAAAAGTCAGTTTGCCAAGAAGACATAAAAATCCTAAATAGGTACATAATAAAAGAGATCTCAGAAATCAAACCGACAGAACTGAAAAGATAAATAGGAAAATTCACAATTATGCCTTGAGATCTCAACACTCTTAATAATCAACAGAGTTAGTGGATGGAAAACGAACAGATATAGAAGAACTGACCACCACTATCAACAGAAGGAACCTAAATGATGTCACAGAATACCCAACCTAACAACAGAACACAGTATTCTTTCCACGTGTGTACGGAACATTTATCAAAGTAGACCATGCCTTCACAGCTTTAAGTGATACCAGACAAAGAAAGTTCTTTAATCATCACGAAATCAAACTAAAATAAATTACAGACATAGAATAAGAGAATCTCTAAATGTGGATATAAAACAACACATTCCTGAATCATCGGTGGCTTTAAAAAGTATTGAGGGAAATTAAATATTTGAACTCAACAAAAATGAATATACCAAAATATACGTAATTTAGATAAAGCAGTGCTGAGAGCAGTAAATGCTGAAAGAGAAAAAGGCTCATAATAACCTAAGCCTCTAACTTAAGAAAAAAAAGTAAATAGAAGAAAGGAAATAAAAGAAGACATCAATGAGATTACCTAAATAATCTTGTCTATTAAAGGAATTAAATTCATAATTAAAAGCTTTCAGAGAAATTCCCATGCTCAAATGGTTCCACTAAAGAACTCTATCAAACATTTTAAAAAAAATAGTATCATTCATACAATCTTTTCTAGAAAGTAGGAAGAACACTTTCCAGCTCATTTAACAAGACCAGCAGCGCTCTGAATACCAAAACCAAAGACAGTACAAGAAAACTATAGATCTATATCCCTCATGAATACAGACACACAACCCCACAAAATATTACCAAATCGAATCCAGCAATATGTAAAGAATAACATACATGAACAAACGGGGTTATAACCCAAAATCAAGGGTAGTTCAGTATTCAAAAAGCAATCATTACAATCTCCCATACGAACAGTCCAAAGCAGAAATACCATAGGATCATGTCAACTGATGCAGAAAAAGAATTTTAAAAAATTCAAAATCTATTAATGATAAAAAGTCAGCAAAACTAGAACAGAAGGGAACCTCTTCAACCTGATAAAGGGCATCTGCAGAAAAACCTTAAGCTAACATCACATACTTAATAATGAAAGACTAAGTACTTCCCCACTACCACCCCAAGATCAGGAATTGAGAACAAGACATACCTACACAGAAATTCCCAAGGAATCTATAAAAATCTAGAATAAGCTTAGCAAGGTCAGAGGGTACAAGTAAGTAACTGCATTTCTATACATAAGCAGTAAGTAACTGTCAACAGTTTTTGTTTGGGGAAAAAAAAAGACAAGAGAAATACATAAGCATAAATCTAACACAACATGTACAAGCTCTATACACTGAAAACTACAAAATGCTGATGAAAGAAATCAACAGATCTAAATAAATGGAAAGACATACTATGTTCTTGGATTGGAAGACAACATAGTAAAGTAAGTCAATTCTCCCCAGTGTGGATTTAATATTATTTATGTTTTTAATATTATATCTGGATTTATATTTAGAATGTTGTTTTATATCTAGTCTAACTACAGATTTCATGTACTTTTAAATAAAATTCCAACAGAACTTTCTGGTAGATATGGACAAATTGATCCTAATGTTTATATGGAAAGGCAACAGAGCTATAATAGCTAAAATAATTTTGAAAAAGAACCTACAAGTTACAAGATTATTTACAGTTTGCTAAATAAATACCAAAAAGGTTAGGGGATGCTAAAAATAGTAAGAGTAAAAAAATGAGCAAGAGTCATCCTGGGAACAATTTAAGGAACACCCCAAAGGTAGACAGCATCCAAAAGCTGCAAGCTAATCTCTTTGTTACCTTCCACATAATCCTCAGCGATGTAGCTGTGCTCATGCAGGATCTCCTCCATGCGGCTGAGAGTGATAGCTGCTAGATGCCCAGGATACTTAAGCTGCAGGAGACGCTGGAGGTAGCCAGCTGCTTGGCTTCCTCCAAGATTGATGCGTTTGCAGTTTTTGGCATCTAACCTGCAACCAAAGAATGGAAAACAACATTGAAATTTCTGGCACAGGTGGAAGGGACGTTTTTAAGTTCTCCTGGTGCTACCTCTTACCCAATGCAGGAATTCCTAGTCCACACCCAGACATGTGGCATCTAACTTCTGGCAAGTCTCAGAAGGAAATGAGGTTCAATGGGAAGAGCACATACTCTTAAGTCAGACCCTTATGTAACTCATCAAGTATTTCTCAAACTGCTGTCCTAGGACCAAGTATCACAGAATCAGGTCCTTGAGAAAATGTTAAACATAACAATTTCTGGGACTCATTTGCTTTGAGGTGGGCCTGGGGATATGCATTTTAACAAGTTTCCAGGTACATATAGTATAGGCCAGAGTTTGAGAGCTCCACCCTCAAACACTCCAATTCTCCTGTTGCACATTAAATAACCACAAACATTTGGCTTACTGTAATCTAAGAGTACCAGGTATCTTTCATAGGAAATGAAGGGGAAATGAACAAGAATAGCTTTTTCTTAATGTGGGAAAGAACAGCAGAGCTTGCTTTATACTAGGAACTTGGTGTACATTGAAATGTCGCTGCTGTGTCATACCTCACCAGCAGATGCCAGCACAGAACATGATATGCTTCAATCTGACCATTTTTTAGCCTTCAGGTAAAATAAATTCCTCTTAATATAACATAAAAATAACATAAAATAAAATATAACAAAAAACGTTATTTGTAATTTCTGCAATTATCTTATTTACATAAAATAGAAATCTGTTATCAGAGTTTAAACTGCATAAACTATGTATTTCATAAAAGCAAGAAGTACTTTATTCTTCATAAATTTTTGTAGGTATGTCAAGAGAAATTTCCACTGTTAGGTTTCCATAAATTCAATGGCATTTATTTTGACACAAATATTCAAAGTGACTCACCTAAAGTCACACAGTGAAGTGGGTCAGTGCTAAGTCCAGATGCCAGTTCATGGTCCAGTCCTTGCTGTTTGCACTTTACCTTTTGAGTAGGCACCCAGTGTTTCCTGAACGTTTCTCAAAACAGCACTCAAATGCTCTAAGTGCAACTTACCTCCCTTCTAAGACAGGTAAAATATGTGTACACTGGTATCCAGATGAAATGATAAGCCCACTGGAAATCATGTTCTTTGGCCTATTGTGGTAGAAGCTGAAGAGGCTGTCTATTCCATAGGCAACTTTAGGAATCCTGTAGCATTCAAACAGAAGCTCAGACATCATCTGGCGTGAATACAGTGGGTTGCACACAGCTTCCGTCAAAACTATAGGATGATCAACACAGCCCTACTTTGAAAACAAAGGGTGAATAGGTGAGTGATAAAAGAATCATCTTTTTAAAGCATAAAAGAAAACAAATCCTTATTGTAGGGCTGAATTTGCTTTTCATCTTCAAACAAAAACCTGACCAGTAGCAACTGTCATCTTACCTCTATGGAAGGCTGTTTTGGAAAACACGAAAGTAAGGTCAGTTTAGGGTTATTAAGCCAAGTTCCATCCAAACTCACAGCAAATCATGTTGACTCTATCTTCAAAGTATCTCCAGGATCCAACCACTTCTTACCACTCCCCCTCTCTCCTTACCTTCCTCATCTAAGTCACCATCATCTCCCCCCTGGGCTACTGCCAACAGCTCCCTAACAGGTATTCCCGTTTCTATCCTATGACCTGTGCCAGTCCATTCTTCATAGAGCAGCTGTAGTGATCCTTTTGGAACATAAATCCTGTTCCCCCTCTGCTCATCACCCTGTGATCCTCATTTCACTCAGAGTAAAAGCCTGTAAGGTGTGTGATTTGGCCCCTAATTACCTCTCTGGCTTCTTTTCCAGTTACTACTCTCCCTCTCACTCTGGCTAGGAGTAGGGTGCACTCCTGCCTCAGGGTCTTTTCCCTGGCTATTCCCTCTGTCTGGAATGCCAGTCCCTCAGATATTCACATGGCTTGCTCCCTCAATCCTTCAGCCCCTCGTCCAACATCACCTTCTTCGAATCCTGCCCTGACCATTGTACTGAAAAATGTAACCCTCTCCTCTCCTATCATGTCACGGAATATACTACTTAATTCTATTGTTTGTTGTCTCTTTTCATACTAGAATGTCTTTCCATACCAGCATCATTAGCACAGGAAATTTTGTGTTACGCTCACTAATGTATTCCAAACACCTAGAAAAGCGCCTAACACAAAGTAGGTGCTCAATACATTTTTAATAATGAAAGTATTAACAAACGAGCTTCTGTGCCCGAAGGTACGCTGCAGGAGAAAAGGGGGGTTGTTTTCGTTCAGTGCTATACCCTAGGCGCCAACAGCTTACACACGTTAGGCCCTTAATATTTGATCAAATGACTAAATGACAACGAGAGCTACTGGAATAACTATTATCTCTCCGAGGGCAGAGTGAACGGAGACAAGACCCCAGGCCACCCCACCTCTCAACCTCGCCTCACCTGTGAGGAGACACCCAGGTGCTGGAAGCTATAGTCAAGCAACAGCTCCTGCAGCTCCAGGTTGACCGGCACGTTGCGGTCGAAGGGCGAGCGCAGCATCCAGCGCAGCGGCTCCAGGCTTCCCAGAGCGTTGCCCACCTGCGGGCCAGCCACGCCCCGGGCCCCGCCACGCCCGCGGGCGCACACAGCGCGGAACTGCAGGCGCGGCTCGGAACCCGGGGCCGGCCCGGGGCACGCCCAGCCAGCGCGGGCCTGGAACGACCCGTTGTCCAACACCAGCGGCACTGGCAGCGGCCCATGTGTCCCTGGGCCGGACTCCAGCACTGGGTCCGGCGCGGCGCGGGCATCTCGGAAGGGGAACACGTTCGCCGCCGGCCCGGCAACACCGGCCAACGCCATCTTGGATCGTACGCGCCAGCCCCGCCTCTCGCCGCAGCGCCTGCCAGAATGCGAAGCCCCGCCCCCAGACGCGGGGCACGCCGGGACGGCGCGAGACTACTCCACCGCGTGCAAGTGGGGACTCCAAGTGTCTTCTCTCTGAGCCCGTCCCGTCTTTTTCACTTGATTCTCCCCTTTTGACCCAGATCGCCTGCGGGATCGCTAGGCCCACCCATCCCGGCAGCGCGGTCCTGCCCCTGTTTAACTTCTCCGCCAACACCCCTGCGGACCACGTCCCTTCGCTCTATCCGGGACTCCCACAGTGAGCCCCGCCCCTCCCTGGCCTTCGGGCCTGAGTCCTAAGCCCCACGGGGTCCCAGCTTTTCGCCTAGCCACGCCCTACTTTTCGGGTAACTCGTCTGCAACAGCCCTTGGCTCCGCCTCCGCTTGGGTACTTCACCCTTAGCCCCACTGTCAAGAAAATTAAAACTGTTCAATTTCTTGACTAGGGAGTTGCTACGCGGGCATGTTCACTTTGTGAAAATTCATCAAGCTGTCCACTTAGGATATGTGCACTTCTCTGTACATATGTTTTATAATACAGTTTAAAGTTTTTAAATAGATTAACTCCTGCAGACCGTGCCTTCTCACCAAGACCTCAAACAATGAGAAAAGGATTGCTAATTGTTCCTCAATATATATATTCTCTTCCCTTTAGTAGTATAACTCCCCAACATGGTCATCTGGTTCCGGTGTGATCTTGTGATTAAGTTCTGGCCAATGGGGGTGGGAGTGGAAGTGATGCGTCTTCCCCCTTCCAGTTTAGCTCTAAAAGGATTGGGTACGTTCTCCCCTGTCCCATTTCCCCCTTTCCACTAGCTAAAGGGATAACAAAAGTTAGAGCAACTTCTTTGACTCTCCTCTCTCATATCTAAACACTTTGAGAGATAAAAGCAAGTTAATTATAAAAGGTGACTCTGAATAAACATACTTAGCAAGAGATGAGACCCCAAACCTCTATGAGCACTTATGGGCCAGACAGGGAGCCAGCCCAGAGACAAAACGGGTTTCCAACACAAGCCCATTGTCTCAGATATCTAAAGGTGCCCATTATTAAGCCGAGAAAGCAGGGACAAACAGAATACAGAGAACAACAAATATAAGTGAATGTAAATTTAAGAATTACATCTATGTATATACTAACATGGAAAATCTCAAATATTTATTTTTAAAAGAAATAACTCCAGCAATTCTAAGTTGAGTTCCCAAGTTATCCTAGGAAGCTATCAAGCAGAAAAGTGAGCCAGATGGAGGCACTTGCAATGGTTTGCTGTCAGGTTTCTTAGAAGTGCCCACAGCTTCAGGTGAATTCAAGTGCATCTAAAGTATACAGGGTGGAACATTGACCACTGTCAAAGAGGCCATGTCTGTTTTGTTTACTGCTGCATTCCTGAGTCCTAGAACAGTCTTTACTCCAATGTGTAGCTTGCAGTGGGTACTCAATAAATATTTAATAAATAAATCCTGAGTGCCTGCCAGACCCTGTGCCAGGTACTGGATAATACTAGTATTTCCTTTAGTTGTTAATTGTGCTCTCCCTCTGGGCTGTACTTCCTTCCCCAGTCTGTACTCTGTGCCATTCCCCCTACAACATCCTCAATCTATTCACCCTGTTTCCATCCCATCCCCAGAGGATTGCTAGGAGCTACTGGAAGTGTAAAACTACTACACTCTACCCCTCCCTCAGAGCTTGGCTCTCAGTGCTGCTGGATCATCCTGCTGAGTGTCCCTTGCCTGACCTCCTGGACCCCACAACTGTCAGAGATGGTGTCTACAGCATCACTGTGCAATCAATTGTAGCCAGACTTTTGAAAACACTCAATTAAAACCTCTAGGGAGTAGAGCTCATTTCCCATGCCCTAACACCTAAGGCTGGAATTAGCAAGAGACAAGTGAGGCATTTGCTTAGACAGCAAAGTTTGACAGGATGCAAAAAAATCAGCAATGATGACAATATTTTATACATTAAAAAATTAAAAATTAAAAATTGAATTATGATGTTAAAAAATAACATGATCAACAAAATGTAAACTTAGAAAGAAAGACAGGATCATTGTTGACATTTCCTTTTGCCTTAGATTCAATGTGGCTGAGCCTAGGGCTGCTGCTGGTCCTGCGCTATCTGTCACTGTTACTGATCCTGCATGCGTAAGTATTTGGGAGGGAAATTTGATGTCTGCAACTTTGGAATTAATTTTTTAGGAAAGTTGGGTGGAGAGAGAGAGGATAGATCAGCACTGTAAAATGCTGTGTACAATCTAGGTGGTGGCTGTATGGGTGGCCAATGTAGAATTCTTTCATCTTTTCTGTATGTTTGAAATTTTTCATAATGTTGAAGAAGAAAAAATTGCAGTGGGAAGCACACCCAAAGGTGCTTCCTTGGGGTCAAACCAGCTCCACCTTCTGAATCCCTGGATGACTGGGCCTGGGTTCCTCATCATACCCTCACTGGCAGTGAGGTCAGAGCCTCCCAGCCCACCTGTACTCCTCCTTGACTGAAGTCTCCCTCTGGCACCTGCCCTTGAGATCCCTTCCTCCCCACCCACAGAAATGCCTGGATCCCCGCAGCTTCCTGATTGGTCTCCACAGAGCCTGTTTGACTCCCTCCCTCTCTCCAAGATCCCTAAGCAGGGAAAACAATCCCTAGGGTAGGGCAGGTCATTTAACAAAACATGTTTGGTAATATCCCTCTAAGTTTAGGTAAAAATGACCAAAGCCCACTTTTTCAGTATGGAGGCACTGAAAATAAAACACAAGAGACAAATAGTAATTATCAACTAGGGTGGTGATAGTGGCAGGGAGGAAAGGCATTTAGGAATCTGGGATGTGCACGAGTTTACCCACATTTAGAAGGTGGAGAACCCTCTTTGAGGGCCAGCCGCTAGCGCTCTCACCGCTGGGGGGCGAGGCAGGACTGTCTCGAGACCAGGTGGCAGTGACTGTTGGGTTCTTTCTTCCAGGGAGCGAGGGTCTTGGTTATGGGCCGGGGATCCAAGGCACTGACTGGGCTGCATACAGACGCACAGCGGCAGCGAATGCCTGTAGCTAGTTTATCAGGTCCCGCAACTCGTCGAGCCAGGATTCAAGGGGGGACTGAAGGGAATTGGTGGGAACCCTGAGGGCCTAAGGTGGAGCCCCCATCTCCTCCTCAAGCTGACCCCCGGAATGAACCTTGCTAGACAGATCCGCTCCCTTGGACTCTGCCCGTGAGCCCACTGCAGACCTGAGGAGAGCCTAGGTCTTCCTTTCAACTTGCACCCTTGCACGTTGGAGTAGGGCGCAGGGTGCAGAGAAGGGTCTGACCTACACCTGCTCTCTATTTCTTGAGGCAGCCTGAATGCTAGCGGGAACGGGGAATGCTACTGGTGTCCTACCGTCGAGGGTGCAGGGCTAGCTCTCTGTCCCCGGTCACCATCAACACCCGGGTAGCCAGGGAACACGGGCTCCTGCTAGGTGAGCACAAAGCCCAGAGCCAGGACATCCTGGAGCGGATCCAGGTGAAGGAACACGCAGAGGTGGCAGCCACAGCCCGGAGCCTGCCTGGTGTCTCATTTGTCCTTTTAAAGATGTGAAGGACGGAGCCAGTGCAGCATGACGCTCCCAACTTCCCTTCCACTGCAGAGTCCGGGCTTTTCCTGAGGGCTACAGACCATGCTCCCACACAGAGCGCCCCCCAGGGTGGGTGGGCCCCTTAAAAGGCAGTGGGAGGCGCGGCAGGCGGATGAAGTCAGCTCCCCAAGCCGGGTAGACATCAGAGCACGGTAGGGGTACTGGAAACTGAGGATCTTCTGGCCAGCTCCGGATCCTGAATGCGCGACAGTAGTGATAAAGGGGGATAAGGCGGATGACAGCAGACATCTCAAATGTCTCATTTAATCGTCAGAGCGGTGGGCGGCCGAGGGGCGGCTTTATCCCTTTCCTCTCCCACTCCCATTCGACGGCTGCAGAACCAGGATGGTGTGAGGTCACCTCTGTCGCAGGCACACACGCACAGATGCTCTGCACACACACACACAGACACACACACACAGAGACACACACATTCATCATGGCTCTCACAAGACACAGATCCTGCCTTCCCCTATCCCACACGCATGTCTTCACAGATGCGCTCTCACATGCGCGCACACACACACACACCCGTCACACCATGCGGGGGAAAAACGGACACCTTACTTGATTATTTTCCTGGGTCCTTCCTGGGGGCCGACTGCATCCGGAGAAATCGTTCCAAATGAGGCTTCTGCCTTGGTGGTGGAGACCAAGAACGTCCTGAGTGGCTCCTCCAGCAGTGACAGAGGACCCCAGAGCCACCCAGCCTTCCTGAGCCCCGGATCCCAAGTAGAAAGTCTGACCAAGACCCTTTCCAACCGTACCTGGGACTGGCGCTCCTCTAGGCAGCACAAGTGCTTTCCCTGGAATCGGATCTGCACAAAAAAATGACTGGATTCTCTGGGTAATTCAAGCAAACACATTCTCAAACAAGCTATTCAAGAAAAGAGGAATCTGGGACACAAATGGTTCAGATCCAAACAGCCAGATCTTTTCACTGTGGCTGTGTTAACCCCAGCTTGGACTTGATGGGAGTTCTCCAGGGTGAGAAATGCCAGTTCAGGTAGGCGCCTGGTCCTAGAGCCCAGAGAAATCCACAACCGTCTGCTTACTTCCTATATAGCTCTCTTCATAGTCGGCAGCCATGTGGGGATTTCTGCCTGTCCTTGTTCATTGTCTATCTCTCCTCTGTTAGACTGTAAGCTCAGGGAGGGCATGGCTGAGTTTGTTTCTCCTGGCACCCAGAGAAATCCCAGCTCTGATAGGCTGTCTCTAAATATTTGTTGAACAAATGTGTAGGGCTTTTGTCTATAAAAGCTTTTTCGGATTGGAGGTTGAGTGTGTCACCAAATTCTCAGGTGGATTCAACCCCTAAAACAGATTTGGAACAAACCTCGTCCTGGCAGACTACAGCCACACTGAAACCGC